AATATTGCATCAGCCACTGACAACACGAAGTCGGGGGAGTGTGAACAATTTGTTTATAGGAAAACGGAAATACTTAGTCAAGAAAATTACTTGATGACTGTATACGATGGTATCAAAATATTACAATACTTTTTTACTATTATTCCTTTTTTTAAGCTCAAAATAACAAGTGTTACAACCTTCTTGGTGATGGTCGCTTCGGACGCTTCCAGCACGAAACCCAACATCATGCGCATTGCCATATAAGTTGGTAGGCCTGTTGGCCATGTTCTCGCATCCATCTTCTCCCCCTCGTTTCCCTGTCTTTTTACTAGTGTTCTCAACGTCGTTTTCAGGTGGCGTTGGCGCCATCTCAAACTTAAATAACGTCTCAAAAAACAAGAAAGTTAAAAAACATCTCCAGCCATTTTCAGAGCTGGAAACGAAAATAAGAAATAGTGAAATACCCCGGGAACGAAAACCGACACTACCGGAACAAAAAGACCGGGAACCGCCGGCTACGTCCAAACAGTACCGCTTTACATCAAGTATTGTATATTAGGGCCCGTTCATATGAACTGGGTTGGCCCGGTAACCTGGTTGACTCCGCAAGTGGCGAGATCTCGTCTCGTATATTGTTTTATATATGTTTTTGAGATTTGATTCACAAGAGAACCGGGCTGGCCCGGTTTGCCGGGCTCCCGTTTGAGCATTGCAAGATCTCGCCTTCCCGCGGGCTCATGTGAACAGCACTAGGGGCCATGCAAAATTTATTTTATACGGGGCCGGAGCAAAAGGGGAGGGGGGCACATACTCTTTTTGAGCTGCATAGAAGCGGGGCACGCAGATTTTTTGCTACCTTGCAACGTGTGGCACATTTTTTCGTGCATGTTCCCGGCCAATTTATAAACCCTTTAATTAAGGTCTTTAAGCAGCGATGCACCCAAATGCGCCCTTTTTTGTATTTTACTTATACTGTATAGATGTCTTACGCCATCCAATAAAGACAGTTTTGCTCGTCTG